CCAGGCTCTGCTTTTGGGGACCCCTATGCAATCCAACCAATTTCCTGATAATGAACATTTGGGTGTTGTGGGTTTTTGCTATTGCAAAAGTGCTTCTAAAAATCTTTGTGTAGTCCTGGCCAGTTTTTCTCAGTGGTTAGAGTGTCAGTCCAAGGACTGAAGGGTCTTGGGTTCGATTACCGGTCAAGGGAACATAACTCACGGGTCGGGGGCCCGTGCAGGAGGCAACCAATTAATATGTCTCTCTCACATTGATGTTTCTCTCTCTTTCTCTCCTCCTCTTTCCTCCCTTCGACACTCTCTAAGGATCAATTAGAGGGGGGAGGGGATGAGCTTCAGAAGGGGGGTGTCTGAGTAGAGTATATGGGGCGTTATCCAAGGCATCCCTTGAGATAAACTTAACCGTGCAGGTATTTGGACATTAAGTAGTTGCTAGTGAAGAGACTACTCTGAGCAAGCAGGACCAAGGGTAGGCATTGTCATCTGACCTTATCTATCTATCTATATATATATAAAAGCCTAATATGCAAATTGTCCCCTGGGGAGTTTAACCAGGAGACAGGGAGTTTGATCGCTTGCTATAATGTGCACTGACCACCAGGGGGCGGCGCGGAACAAAGGAAGGCCCCAGTGGGCAGTTGGGGAAGGGAGGCCCCGGTCAGCAGCCAGAAGGCCCCAATCGGCCCTGATTGCTGGCCAGGCCTAGGGACCCTAACTGTGCACGAATTTCGTGCACTGGGCCTCTACTATTAATATAGTTAAGATCGCCAGAGGAATTACGCCGCACAAAAATATGCAGTTGCAAATCACACAGCACACTTTATTACTCATAACGTTCCTGGTTTCGTGGGCTCAGACTTAACAGGGTCGCGGGGAAGAGTGGCGTCCTCTGCGGGCAGTGGCGGATCCATCTTTGCATGGCTGGCCGTCTGGTTGGGTCGAGTCAGCGGGAGGAGGGCAACCTAAGGCTCACCATCAGAGGTTCGGCCGTCCTTCTGCCATCTTGCGTGGAGCAAGGCAGCGTGGAGCGTGGATCAAGAGGATGATCGATGTCTAAAGTCGGGGACCCATTTTTAAGCCTGTTCTGGCCCACAGCAATCCAGGTGGCTATCAGTAACATACATCATCACACAAGTGTTAATCAGAGTACAAACTGATTATCAATCACAGTGCGTCCATCAGAAGGTGTCCATCAGGTTTACATACGTCATTCCTAAGGGTGGCATTCAGCTATGGTCTTATCTATCTGGTGCAGCTAGGGCTTGGTCAGAGTGGTCATTCCCTGTGCTCTTTAATATTTCACACAAGTATTTCACACAAAATAATTTTTCTACATTTCCTATAACACTCTTTAATTATTTTCTATTGCGATAACATGGTAACACTCTCTACTTATTTCCTGTCATTATCACTATTACTATGACGGGGGGTGGGGAATCTTCATGTAAAACCCACCAGTGCACAAGTGCAAGAATTTCTCTTGCATGTTTACATAGGGGTAGAACTGCTGGGACAGAGGCTATGGGAACTTTCAACTTTACAAGATAATTCCAAACTGTTTGCCAAAGTTGTTTTTACCAATGTACACTTCTGGCGACATTGTATATGAAGTCCCATTGATCCACGTCCTTGTCAACACTTGATATTGTCAGATTTCTTCATTTTGACCACTCAGATATCAAATGGAATCACATGGCGGCCTCAGTTTATACTTTTTGATGATTAACGAGATTGAACATGTCTTCATATATTTATTGACCATAAATGTTTTATCTTCTGAGGAATGTCTATTCATAGCTTTTGCCCATTTTTCTATTGGTTGATTGTTCTTTCCTCATTCGTTTTGCTCGTTCTTTGACAGTTGTGGCTTTTCCCACTTGAAACACAGGTGGTCAGAATTGAACTTAGGCCGAAACCGGTTTGGCTCAGTGGATAGAGCGTCGGCCTGCGGACTGAAGGGTCTCAGGTTCGATTCCGGTCAAGGGCATGTACCTGGGTGGCGGGCACATCCCCAGTAGGAGATGTGCAGGAGGCGGCTGATCGATGTTTCTCTCTCATAGATGTTTCTAACTCTCTATCCTTCTCCCTTCCTCTCTGTAAAAAATCAATAAAATATATTTAAAAAAAAAAAAAGAATTGAACTTAATGTAATGGCCACCTGATGAGACTTCTTTCCTGTTACAAAATTACTGCGTGCTTGTTATAAAACAGCGGTTCTCAACCTTCTGGCCCTTTAAATACAGTTCCTCGTGTTGTGACCCAACCATAAAATTATTTTCGTTGCTACTTCATAACTGTAATGTTGCTACTGTTATGAATCGTCATGTAAATATCTGATATGCAGGATGGTCTTAGGCGACCCCTGTGAAAGGGTCGTTTGACCGTCAAAGGGGTCTCGACCCACAGGTTGCGAACCGCTCTTATAAAACAAACAAAGCCTATGGACGCGTTTAACATAGAAAGAGGAAGTCTCCTTTACTCCCGGCTCCATCCGACCTCCAGGCAGGAATAACTGCCGTGAATAGTTTGTCATCCCATATTTGGGGGATTTTGTTTTCACGTCTCTCTCCCAAATTGGACTGACAGTTTCTCAAGGGAAAGAACTGTGTCGTATCCATCTCTGTGTTCTCAGCCCCAGGCACAGTGCCTGGCCTCGATCAGGAATGCAATACATACGTTACCGAGTGAACTACTGAAAGGTGGGTTAGAACAGATGTTCGGAAATTATAAGAAGACCAGTTTGACTGGAACAGAGGAGGAAAATTGGGTGGTGGTACTGGTAACATGTGCTGCGGCTTGATTATCGAAAGTGCCGGCTGTTAGGCAAAGTGTTTGATTTTTATCTTGGATGCAGTCAGCCAGGGAGGCAGTCAAGACTTTTTAGGTGAAGGGAAGTTCTTTGTCCCTACCAGTCACAGAATTAAGACAAAATATTAACAACCTAGTCATCTATGGCAATGTACAGGATGTCACGGGGAGGAGGTGGGTGAAAATGAAACTGAAGACAGAAAAATGAATGAATCCAGAAGTTACCTTTTTTGGACACAAACTCCTACGGAAAACTCATGAAAATACCTTCTTTCAGAAAGATAGACATAAACCCAAGCCCATGCACTTTTTTTTAAAAATATATTTTATTGATTTCTTACAGAGAAGAAGGGAGAGAGATAGAGAGCCAGAAACATCGATGAGAGAGAAACATCGATTAGCTGCCTCCTGCACATCTCCTACTGGGGATGTGCCCGCAACCCAGGCACATGCCCTTGACCGGAATCGAACCTGGGACCTTTCAGTCCGCAGGCCGACGCTCTATCCACTGAACCAAACCGGTTTCGGCGCCCATGCACTTTTTAAAAAATATATTGCTTATTGATTTCAGAGAGGAAGGGAGAGGGGGAGAGAGATGGAAACATCAATGACAAGAGAGAATCATTGATCAGCTGCCTCCTGCACGCCCCACACTGGGGATCGAGCCTGCAACCTAGGCATGTGCCCTGACCGGGAATTGAACCCTGACTTCCTCGTTCATAGGTCGATGCTCAACCACTGAGCCACGCCAGCTGGGCCCCATGCACTTTTTAAGAACCCATTGACTGTGGGTTATTCTAAGCGTGAGAGAAGAAAAGCCTGAACCATGGTGGCAATATGTGTTCATTCATCCAGGCACAGTTATTGATCTCCAACTGTATGCAAGGCACTGTGCTGAGAACAATCACCATTCAGTGGGGCATTGGAAACGGTATGGCATGGTGGTCAAGAGCACGTTATCTGTCTCTCTCCCAATTTTTGGGGGGGGGGTGAGGCAACCAAAATTTTTGGTGGCCTTGTTTCAACAAGGCTTAAAAAAAAAAAAGCACAGACTCTGAGCCCAGCTGTCAGGTTTCAAACTCCTGCCAGGGGAGCTTGGCTGACTCACTAGAGCCACCTGCACTTCGTAGGTATTTTAGAGCAACAGTGCTATCACCACTTCGCCTTTAAAGCAGTGGTTCTCAACCTTCTGGCCCTTTAAATACAGTTCCTCATGTTGTGACCCAACCATAAAATTATTGTCGTGGCTACTTCATAACTGTAATGTTGCTACCGTTATGAATCGTCATGCAAATATCTGATATGCAGGATGGTCTTAGGCGACCCCTGTGAAAGGGTCGTTCGACCGCCAAAGGGGTCGCGACCCACAGGTTGAGAACCGCTGCTTTAAGGGAACCCTCCATTCCAGAAGGCACTTAGCATTCATGGCATGCGCATGCCGGGAGCTCTCTGCAGAGCCCGAAGGCAGGAACCTGAGTGGAAAACAAGAGGAGGAAGCAGAGAGCTCATGATTTCCAGAACTGTCGCTGAAATGGAAGAGGAGAGCGAAGGCAGGGACGAGGGGAAGTGAGGACAAGGAAGATGGTTTATTTACTTTTTAAGATGGAAGGGATCCTAAATGCTGACAGGGAGGACGGGGTGGAGTGGGAGAGGCTGAAGACACATCGCTGATGGTCTGTCTTTTTCCCTAACGGTGCCCGATGGCAGGAGGGAGGGTTTTAGGGCACAGGTGGAGGGCCTGGCTTTAGCCAGGAAGCCACTTCCGCTTGCGAGCTGGAGGGGAGGAGGAGAACACGGTGTGGCTGCAGGTGCTGGCTTCTGAAGTAACCACAGGCAAGGGAGAAAGAATGTCACCGAAGGGGAGGGGCGGGGAGGAGAGAGAAGTTGTGACATACCATTTTTAAAAATATATTTTTATTGATTTCAATCAGTCAATAAGGGAGAGGGAGAGAGAGCTAGAAACATTAATGAGAGTCATTGATCAACTGCCTCCTGCACGCCCCACACTGGGGATCCAGCCCACAACCCAGGCATGTGCCCTGACCGGGAAGCGAACCATGACCTCCAGGTTCATAGGTTGATGCTCAACCACTGAGCCACACCAGCTGGGCAATGAGATACCATTTT